TGTGAAAAGCCCGAGTCTAGGGCCCTGACCAAGCTTCTGTTTTTGACTCGCAGGGAGTGGGACTGTGTTGGTTTGCTCTTCATTCAGGAGGTCAAGTAAAACACTTTATCAACTGTTTCCTAACTTGTCAAGCTACTCATATCTCAGCTCAAATGTCTCACAGGCCCAGGGATGTTTTAAACCTGTCAACAGAGCAGTACATACCCTACAACGGTTTGCATTGCATTACCGTTCTATATGTTTTGATTCTATGTGCAAGTTCCCTCTCCCGGAAGTCGTCAAAAGTCGACGCTGTTCACGTTCTCTCACAGCGCGAAAACTTTCAGGTCTGCTGCAACACAACAGCACTCAGGTAAGTTAATTCACAACAAATGAACAACTGTATAAGACTGCAACAGGCTAACATCATTCTTGTTTTACTGCACGCAGGGGGACTATTTTGGAAAGTGAGACGCTAATTGTCAAACACCGCAACTTAGCATATAGCCGAACTGACGTTGTAAGCTAGTCTGCTGACATTTGTTAGCTTTCCACACATGTTAGCTAACGTTACACAGGTAAACATTACACAATCAACACATGCACACTATGATACCGCCTTATAACATTAACCAATTCAAAAGGTATTATAGTAGCTTTGTTAAACCTCATACTTACGTCTCAAAAAACATTAACTTGGCATTACAGAGCTTTTCTATGTTTTTATTATTTTATTTACACTGTATGTATTACTCTACTGTTTGTTAAGAGACCATATTTTCCGTAATCGACTTTTTATAACACTTTCGTCACGTAAACGAATCTGCTAACCTAATAATAACTTATATTGTATGGTATGTTATGACCAATTTTGTTAAGTGAAAACTGAAACCAACTAGAAAACCAAATGCCAAAGTCAGCAAATCAACAGATACCTATGTACCAGGGCAACCTTTTCATTAGTTTTAGGTGGCATTCTGAATTAAAAGTAGCTCACAGTGAAGTGGTTTGGCTTGGCATTCCCTGTTTTTATGACTGCTACTGATGTATGTCATTCTCTTTCTCTTTCAGAAAGCAAACATGTCAAAGATAGACAAGATGAGCATCTTAGGGGTGAGGAGTTTTGGGATAGAGGATAAAGACAAACAAGTCATTACTTTCTTCACTCCACTGACTGTGCTAGTTGGACCCAATGGAGCAGGGAAAACGGTACGAGAACATGTTTTGAGAGATCAAAGGTTGACTGTGAAGCCTGACCTGTAGAGATTTAACACGTTTTTATTTTTCTACAACTTGACCCTTTTGTTTTTCCAGACTATTATTGAGTGCCTTAAGTATGCAACAGCAGGAGAGCTTCCGCCTGGATCTAAAGGAGGGGCATTTGTTCATGATCCAAAGGTAAGTGCTTGTACTTATCGGCTTAAATCTCCACCAGCCCACAATGCTCTATTCTCACACATTTCTCAAACTATTGTGTATTCTCATTTGTTAAGGTAATACTCAACATGATATATTCAATATACCAAATATGTTACTTATTATTATTTGAGTCAAACAAGCTACCCTATCATTGAATATCCAGATTATAAATTCTGATATTTTATCTGATTAATATGACTTTTGCTATTTCAATGATAGTCTGCACACCATAAACAGAATACCTACTTAAAATGAAGCAATTACAGACTTCAAAGTATGATTATGACATGGGATGGATCAGATGGCAGTTACATTTATAAACAAGAAATAACTTTACCACTAATTTGGTTCTCTTGTTGTGGTATAGTCTCAATCATCACAAGACAGTCTATTTTTTTTATCTGCTGCTGATGTTTGTCATTTTTAATTTATTACATTACGAAACTTTCAGACCTTTTATTTTCACCCTTGCCTTATTCAATATGTACATGTTTGATAAGAGTTCAATTTCTGCCTCAATTCATTTTCTTATTAAAATATAACAAGCTATTTGTTAAATGGAGTGAAAACTGATTTTTTTAGATCGGTTTTATCATTTAATTCATTTCAACGTGCAGAAATATACCAATAACTATAACCATGTAATTTCCAAAACAGGTTTTACACCGTTATTTGACTCGCTTAAGGTTCAGAGTAGTCACTTCAATGAAAAGCTATCAACATCACAGTTCATGCTTTTTGAATTCCAGGACGCCCATGAAACAGACGTGCGAGCACAGATCCGACTGTTATTCTCAGACGTCAACGGAGAGAAAGTGACTATCCATCGCTCCATGTCCTGCACTCAGAAGGCGAAGAACTACTCCTTCAAAAGCTTGGAGCAAGTCATTACCCGAATAAAGTAAGACACAATTAAGTGGTTTCTTTACTCTTTAATTGTGTCTCCCATTGACATTGTGTCTCTTAACATGACCTCTTACTCAACATGTGACCTCCATCCTCATTCATCCAGAGACGGTGAGAAGGTGAGCTTGTCATCAAAGTGTGGCGAACTGGATCGGGAGATGATTTCTTCACTGGGAGTGTCGAAGGCTGTGCTGAATAATGTCATCTTTTGTCACCAAGAAGAGTCCAACTGGCCACTTTGTGAGGGCAAAGCACTCAAAGACAAGTTTGACTCCATCTTCGCTGCAACCAAGTAAAGACCTCATTCTTACGTTTTCATGTGTTGTTTTTTTTTTACATGAAGAATCACATTTGCTAAAAATAATTCCAAGGAATATATATTAACTTGCACATGCCATTCACATATTGCCTCTTGTTTTCCATAGGTACATCAAAGCTCTGGAAACGATGCGTCAGTTGCGTCTCAAACAGAGTCACACAGTGAAGGAGTGTCAGGTGGAGCTGCGCTACCTGAAGCAGAACAAGGAGAAATCCCAGCAGATTAAAGAGACCGTGGATACCAAAGAGGCTCAGCTGATGGCCTCTAAAGACAACATCCAGCAAGTAGAGAGCCAGATTGATCCACTGGAGGTTTGTTTATGATAATGTGCGTTTCGTAAGCTTTCTAACATCAAACTTATAGTTTGCCCTGCTCTTTGATTATTGAGAGATTCCAGATTACTCAAGAAGTCTATGTAAAGTTCTGTAAGCAATGTTTCTTAATATGAAATATGAAGAGGGATCCATTTTTAAATCACTACCACTTGCTTTTATATAATGTTTTTACTGCAAACACTTTATTACATAGTAAACTCTTAAAAATTGGAAGGATGGCCAGACCTGACAATAAAGCTATCTTATTTGCACACAACCCTTGTTTTCAGGGAGATTCTACAACAAAGCATATGATAAAATAAAAACTGACATATGTAGAGTTGTAACTAACTTGGTTTTTACTCTTTTATTTATGAATTGAAATTAAAATGTCGAAAGAATGATGGATTACCCGTAGTGCTCCTCAAGTAGCGATTAACTTTTAAAATAACTTTCAGAATCGACTGACGGATATTGACACGAAACTGGGGAAAGTGATGAAGCTGGACAACGACATCAAGGCTTTAGACAGCAGGAAGAAACAGATGGAGGAGGACAACAAGGAGCTGGAGGAAACTATGGAACAGGTAACATATAAAACATGTAATACATACACCCACACACCAAACACAAGTTATTCATTTTTAGAATGTTAAAAAGGTTGTCGGATGGAGAGCTTTGTTTCATCTCTGTGTCTGAAGGTTTATTTAGCTAAACACCTGCTTAATCATACTCCGGACTCCACTTTATAAGTATCATTAACCTTTATTGGAAACTAACAGAGAGCCTGCAGATGGAGAATGAGGTTGTTGTCATGCTGTAATCACAAACCAGTCCGTCACTGTCCTTTATTCATATTCCTATTTTGTGTGTTTCTGCCCCTCGGCCTTAAGGGAGCCAGGAACCTTTTCCTCCATCTGGCTGTTGCTCCTCAGCTCAGGGTTTCCGCTAGGATTATTTCTTGCCGGTCAAATGTCCGGAAATAATTTATTTTACCGGACAAATTCGAAACTTACCGGTCATGTTTCAATAATAATAATAATACGAATTGTGTAGCAGAGTTTCCGTTAGCAGGTAATTACCGGACTATGACCGGATATGCTGATCCCCATTATCTCAGTTAATGGGGCTCATTATTATATTGCTTCAGTTTATAATCGTAAAAGATCGAAAAGTTCAGATTCATTTTTTTTTTAAATGATACACTTCCCCAAACAACAAACAACATAATTATTACATTCAAACAAACGACTTATAGTAGATAAAGTACATTATTCAAAAGTTTACATTAAAGGTAGGGTAGGTAAGTTTGAGAAACCGGCTCGAGATCGCTAGAATTTGAAAATACACAACCGGAGAAAATCTGCCACTTCATTATAGAGCCCCTCCTCCAACACACACGAACGCACACATGACCAATGAGGGCACGAGATAAGTTTGTGCACAGATGGAAGGCTGACAGGCAGGTAGGCCATCCAGTTATTTTAGCCGGGCCGGCTAAAATGATTGGTCGTGCTTTTTACAGTATTACGGCTTCCACAGATGACATTTTTTTATGGATTTTTTGTCAAAGCACTTAAGATATTCATTGCTATCGGGATGTTAAGAGCATTCCATGGAATATAACAAAAAGTGTATCTCGAGCCGGTTTCTCAAACGTACCTACCCTACCTTTAACTTTGAATAATAACACAGGAGAAACGGATCCTCTCTTTTCCCCTCTCCCTCCCTCTCTCTCCTGACAGCCCGTCTGTTTCTCATGCAGCTCGCTAAACAGTGGGCGGGGCTTCAGGTGATCATGCAGAGCTGCGTGCCTCCGTCAGACTCGGCATCTGATCTCTGATCTCTCTATCTCGTCCGGTTATACTTCACTCGCGTTTATGTCCATATCGATCAGATCCAGCTCTCCTGATCGGCCTTTATAGAGAGCACCGATCAAACTATTAAGAGTGAATATCGGCCTCTAATAATCGGCGGCCAATCGATCGGAGCATCCCTAATTATTACCGGACATTTTGACTGGCAGGTTTTGAATTTACCGGTTTTGAATACATTTTACCAGCTAAAAAACCGGTAATTACCGGCTAATGGAAACCCTGCCTCAGCTGTGTATGAGTCTGTGTTTAAAGACTGTCTATTTATATTTTTGTCAGGGGACGTGTCACTATCCGATTGCACTTTTGTGTTTGTTTTGCTGCGTACTTTTTTTTAATAGACAGGTGAATTGTCAGTGTGATAACATGAGTTTGTTGGAAGTCTTGGGTGCTTGCCAAAATTATGACCACCATTTCCTCCTAGCTAATATTGCAAAGGTATCAGAAAGCTTGAACCAGTCTTGCTTGATCACTATGCTATGTAGTAATGAAACTAATGAACTGCTTTTGCTCTATGCAGCCATTGTACACCTCGATTATGTGTATGCCGTGTCCTTTATACAGATCATATCCAAAGAGCCATAATGCAAATCTTTTTATCACAGAGGGATTTCTTCCACTAAACCCTGACAGTTTGCTACGCTGTACTCGTTGAGCTCCAGAGCCGCTCTAAGCCAATGAAGTGTGTGTGTTCGGCAGGTTTTCCAGGGTTCAGATGAGCAGCTGCAGGAGACTTACCAGAACCACCAGAGGACGGTGAGGGAGAAGGAGCGCAGGCTGACAGATTGCCAGAAGGAGCTGGAGAGAGCTGGTCGAGAGTGTCAGAGACTCAACAGGGTCAAGGCCGACCTCCTAGTAGAACAAGGTACACACACTCATTAATAGCATTTTCCTGAAGTTTCAAGCATATGTATTATTGAAAAAATGATGATGATAGCATACAATCATGAGTGAACTGGCAGAATTGATTTTAGAAAGTTACCCCAAAACCTTCAAATATGCTGTTCTTTTAAGAGAATTTATTTGATCAGTGATAGATACAAGAAAGGATGGACACACAGGTGGATAAAGAGATATCTCCTGAAGACTTAATAAGCTTTTGAAATCCTGCTACCTTTGCACAGGTCGTCTCCAACTAGAGGCTGACCGCCACACTCAAAACATCAAGAACCGAGACACTCAGGTAAGAGAGAAAAATCTAAATCTGTGGGGCACTCCAACTCTTGTTCCCATGGAGGTGGACCGCACCCAGTTTAAGTTACCTTGGTCAAAAGCTCCTGCCAAATAAATGTGGTTTTATGTAAGGAGCAAGTGCACTTCATTACAATCAGCCAACACCAAAGGTTTCATTATTGGTCCCCTCTAACCATGTACACTACCCTAATGATCTTCAAAATGTAAAAAGAATGCTAAGTTTTTATTTAGTGCATGTATTTTAGCTAAAGATAAAAACATCTGTAAAACATTGATTATACTATAATACAAAATAATACACTGTACATCATTTTGATGCATGTTTGATTAACATCTCTTTCTTAGGTTCGCTCTTTGTCGTCCTCTCTGGAGATGGAGGGTTACGACAGACCTCCCTTCAGCAGTCTTCAACTTGAAAGCTTTAATCGTCAAGTCACACAGAGACTGGATCAGGAGAAAGAGACGGCCAATCAGGTTATGGTAAGAAATGTTCCGTTTAATTTCCTAAAAACAAAAAATGTCACGGCATTGCTTCTCTTCCTGCTGTACATATTTTTTCATACCAGAGACACGATTATAGTCATCATTGTCATGCCTGATATCTCTCCTATCGTTCTGTTCACTCAGGCTGACCTGCAGGAAAAGGATCAGCAGAAGCAGCAGTCCATTGACGAAATGAGAGATAAGAAGACCGGCCTGGAGAGAACGGTGGAGTTGAAGAGAGACATGCAGGGAAAGAAGCAACAAGAAATGAGGAACGTCCGGACAGAGCTGCTGAAGCTCGAGGGTTCGTCCGGCCGGCTGCAAGAACTGGAGAATGAACTGGCTAAAGTGGTAGGCACACAAACAATTCATTCATGCTGTTATTACAGTATTCTTCTCACAATATACAGTTCCCTTTGACCCTAAAGTGCCCCTTCAGGATCACTGCTCTGATCACTTTGTGTGTGTGTATTCTTTTCCCTTCAGGAGCGCGAGCTGCAGAGCGCGGTTCAGAGCTCCAACGTGGAGGAGCTGAAGGCCGAGGTGCTGGAGCTCCAGAGAGAGAAGGCTGAACTCGACCGCTTACAGAGACAACTCGACCAAGAGATGGGGTTGCTCAACACACACACCACCGCTCGCACACAGATGGACATGCTAAAAAAGGACAAGGTAATGTGCAACCTACATTCATTGAAATGCAACTGGTGTGAACATTCTCCTCTTTGGTCTCAGAGCCTTTTACATTTTAAAATGATAGGAAATGTTCCTCTCTTCTTCATTACCTGTCACTCCTCTCATCTTTTCTCTTTGGTTCCTCCAGACAGAGAAGGACGAGCAGGTTCGTAAGATCAAGTCTCGTCACAACGAGGAACTGGTGTCGTTGCTCGGCCACTTTCCCAACAAGAGAGAGCTGGAGGACTGGATCTATTCCAAGTCGAAGGAAATCAACAGCACCAGGGACCGACTTGCCAAATTCAAGTTAATACGATTCTTTTACATTTACAGACCATACATTATGAGGGAACTTATTATTCTGTGTCACTGACTAGTTCTATGTCATGGTTTTAAATATTCTCAGTAAGGACCTGGCTTCAAATGAGCAGAACAAAAGCCACATCGCTGCTGAGGTACGGAAGAAGGAGCAGCAGTTGGCCAGCGACGAAGAGAAGTTTTTCAATGTGTGTGGCAGTCAAGATCTGGAGCAGGACCTGGGCAAACTGCGAGAAGATCTGGAAAAGATCTCCAAACAAAGAGGTAAATGCTTTATAATAGAAGTGAGCATGCACTTTTTGACATAGACACAAATAGAGGTCTAAACCTCGAAAAGAACTACATTTAGAGACGAAATGTCTCATGTCTCATTTGTTGTGCTCCTTACCTTATCATGGATACATACAATCCTAAAGCTTCACAATGCATCAAACAGTTCCCACAAAAAGTTCCCAAAATTGATTGAAAAAGGTATTCGCCATAGCATGTACACCACTTTTTACTCAACACACAACTTTCCATTTGAAAGGGAGGCATGTGGCGCAGTGGGTAGAGTGTTGGTGTTTGGATCAAGGGAGCACAGGTTCAAACCCCACTGCAGTCAGCATGTCGTTGTGTCCCTGGGCAAGACACTTCACCCCAAATTGCTCCTGTGGGGATTGCCCACAGTATTGAGTATGTAAGTCGCTTTGGATAAAAGCGTCTAACAAGTAACATGTAATGAAAGAAATGTGAATGACATTTATGTGACATATCACTTTTACTGATGATTGTGCAGTAGGGTGGTCCGTAGTGCCATGTGCATTTTCAAATTCATTTATTTTAAGCTCCAACCACCGGAATTTGTTATGATAGTCAAGAAAACTCGCCTAGTGAATTTTATTCAAATTCCAACAACATTTACCCCTCCCTCATCAACCTTGAAGTTTAGCCTCAGTAGGGTGGTCCTTAAAATTGAAAGTCGGAAAGTCTAAGCTCCAACCCCCAGAATTCATTCTATTAGTCAAGAAAACTCTCCTGGTGAATTGTTTCCTCAATCTGACAACATGTACCCCTCCCTCATCGACCGTGGCTGCCTCACCAGCAGCCACGGTGCTGCAACTGAGGCTAAACTTCAAGGTCGATGAGGGAGGGGTACATGTTGTCAGATTGAGGAAATAATTCACCAGGAGAGTTTTCTTGACTAATAGAATGAATTCTGGTGGTTGGAGCTTAGACTTTCCGACTTTCAATTTTAAGGACCACCCTAATGTACAGCCATTACAATCCCATAATAAAACATTGTAAACCGTATGCATTGTAATGGCTTTACATTGCATACGGCCAACAAGTGTCAGTTGTGGATGTGCATGCACTAATTATTTTCCTCATAGTACTTGTGATAAAGGTATTATAGATGAATAAACAATATCTTTCTTCTTTCTTTCTACCCCTGTGCTTTCATAGCCATGCTATCCGGAGCAACAGCGGTGTACACCCAGTTCATCAGCCAGCTGACGGAGGAGAGAGAGCCCTGCTGCCCCGTGTGCCAGCGGACGTTCCCTTCAGACTCTGATCTGCAGGAAGTCATCAGCGACATGCAGTCCAAGCTGCGCCTGGTGCCAGACAAGCTGAAGAACACGGAGACGGATCTGAAGAGGAAGGAGAGGAAGAGGGAGGAGATGATGGCTCTCAGACCTGTCAGGTACGCACAAAGCCAAAGACAGAGTTTGTGTTGGAGTGTAGCAAGTGTACTGGGGCTAGTGATTTTAGCCTTAGTGAAAAAACACTGCGAAAATGTAAGCCATTATTTGAGCAATTATGAAATGGCTCCCTTCTCTATGACTGCAGGCTTTTTGTCCTGTAGTGTGAATATCAGTTCATCTGCTACTTCTCACACTTAAGCCATTTCAATTGCCTTTTAAATATAAAAAAATGCATAATTTCACAAGGTGGCATCGTGAAATGTATAGTTTTGCCTACACTCAAAGTTATTCCATTGTCAATCGGGAAATCCTCAACTTTTGACAATTGTGATTGATTAATGAATTGAATAATTGCAGCCTCGACTGAATTAAGGCTTCGAAGTGTCAGGTGTTTTCAGAATTGCTTTCATTCTGTTGTTTCTATAAACACATTTTAAATCATCCCATTTGAGAGTATTGCACCAGCACACATGAACTACTCATGGCAAAGACAATTTAAAAAAGTACAACAAAAATCTGTGATGTATTCATCCAGTCCCCCAATAGCGAACAACAACAGGCCTGCTTGTCACTCTAAAAATAGATATTCAGCAGTGTTCATTCAAGCAGTATGGCGCGTGGAGAAAGGAGGAGGAAATCTCACCAGCCCACTGATGATTTGTACAACATATTATTTTACACCAAATTTAAGTTATACAATTGATAAATTACATAACAATAAATGATGGACAAATATAGAGCGTATATTAAATAAACAGCTTCAATTGTCCTTTTCCCCTCCCCTTTGATTTTTAAAGAGAGTGGAGCACAGGTTTTATGTTCCCCACTAGGTGGAGCAAGATTCTCATAGGATGGAGATTTATCTCCGGTGTCCTTTCAGGCCCTGAGCAGAACCCTAGAGAGCATGAGCTCCAAGCAGCCACTCCCTTTATTTCAAAATATAATAAGAGCTTTATATATCTTACCTTTCAACACATTTTAATGCTATTAGACCTGTTGTAATTGCTCCGTCAGAACAAATATACAAAGAACAAAGCATAAATATTGGTATATTTGATAGTCCTCTTATAAATACAACACAAATCTTATCACAAGATCCACTTGGGTTTTTCAGGAGTATGCTTCTTCTGGCTGACATTAGAAAATGCCCTTTGTTGGTTATAGGTTTCTGTTTACCTGAAACACCAAGTACGACTACGGATCATCATGTACGAATTCAGCAGGGACCTACTGTATCTAATGACCTTTATTGTTAATGTAGATGGGCCATGAAATACGTTTTATGAAACTATTATTGCACTCTTGATCTTAGCTATCAGGCCATGTACTAGACCAGGGGTGGGGAACCTTTTTCCTCTCAAGGGCCATTTCAATTTTTTCAACATCCTCTGAGGGCCGTGCAAATTATTGACCTCTGCTTAAAAAAACTAAAATCACAGCCCATTCATTTCACCTTTCTTTCATGCTGTGCAAAGAAAAAGCAACCTCTTAATCCAGATATCTTACCATGACTCGCGCATGGTTGGCCACGGTTGTGGCATGACCACCAAAACAGAAAGATATGGACACAAGATGTGTGCAAATGTATTTAGTTTCCTATCCATGTGGACATGATTTAAGTGGGGTGGGGGGGACCTAACCTCCTCTAGGGCGGTCCAGGGGCATGCTCCCCCGGGAAGATACTTTTTTTTTTTTAAATGTTCATTATCAATGAATTGAAAGCTAATTAAAATACTGAGAGAATAGATGTCGCAAAGACCTTTTGTGTTTGACTAGTCAGGACAAAATACAACTTTGTACAGTTACTGACGGTGTTAACAGTTAAGGACTTGTTTTACTTAACTATGATATAAAAAGCATCAATCTGGTACACTTTGAGAGCAAAATTAAGAGATCTATGGAAACATCTCAACATCCATATGAAACAGAACTGTAAACAGATTTTCTTTTTCTTTAAGGATATTTTAGAAATCACTCTCCTTTCAAACTGTATTCTTGTTTATTAATAACAACTTTTTTTACTGTCATATAGTATTTTATACCTGTTTACTTTAGTCTCTTATTTTTTTATAATGATCATATAAAGATGTGCCTCTACCTCACTGGTTGTAGAAAAAGCTTCTTATATTTGTTAGCATAGCTAGCTAACCAGATGCTAATAACAACAAAGTTATTGACTGTATGATCAGTATGACAGATGAACAGATCGACACTGGGTTTACAACTAAAGACACAGCCACGCAAAAACTGCGGCATGTGTACGGCTCCTTATGGGTACTGCAATGTTTGAATGCCGGAGTGACGTTCTGGTGCTCTCCGTCAGAACTACTGCACCCCTGTCAGACGAGACATATACCACGTGATGACACGTTAGGCTCATGTTGTGTTCAAGGACCCTGACCTTGGCCAGGAAAAACAGGCACTCGCTTTTTTAATTATTTTGCGGTCTAGATTTCTTAAATATTTTTTTTTGCGTGTGTTTATAAATTACCTCGAGGGCCATATCAAATGGTCTCGCGGGCCGTATACAGCCCGGGGGGCGGAGGTTCCCCACCCCTGTACTAGACCTTCTCTTTGCCCTTTTAGTTTGGCAAACTCTTAGGACATTTAATCCTAGAAATGTTTCAGACTATATGGGTTGTTGAAACTGATGTCAAATTGATGGAATTTAGTACAGTAGAGTTTTCAATGAAAAGTTCTCCCTGAATAACAGCAGGGTGAGAAGGGATAATGTTGGCTAACATGATTAAAACATGTAACATGCACCTTTTAGCTCTGCTCAAAGTATATTTCTATTTTCTCTCATGCCTCCCAGGCAGTCCATTGTGCAGTTTCAGGAAAAGGAGCTGCCTGAGTTGAGAAACCGCCTGCAGACTGTGAATAGAGAAATCGAGCGGCTGAAGGGGGACGTGGAGGAGCAGGAGACTCTGCTGGGTGTCCTCATGTCAGAGGAGGAAACCGCCAAGGCCTGCCTGCAGGACATTTCTCTGATGGACAGATACCTGGTACCCTCCTTCTGCCTCTCTAACCAGCTGACCACTTTTGTTCTTTCCATAATAGTCCATCCCATCTTTCTCCAAATAGATAACTTTCTGATGTCAAATGTACAAATAACGGCAATCAAATCAAAACAAGTGACAACATCAAAATCATCACTGTTAGACTTCCTGTAAATATCTTGTCATCCCCCTTCTCCCTATTGTCCTTTTTCACCTTACTACATATTTTTTCTCTCCAGATGGACCTTAAAGAGTTGGAGAGGAAAATCGCTCAGCAGGCAGCCAAACTCCAGGGAGTAGACCTGACCAGAACCATCCAGCAAGTCAGTCAGGAGAAACAAGAAACCCAGCACAAGCTAGACACAAGTAAGATGGCGTGATGCACAAACCACTTAGGGGGAAATATGTTTTTCTACTAAGGTCCTTTGTAGAGGAGTTGCTATACTTTGTGTTTGGGCTCCAAATGTATCAGACAGCTTGCATTCATACAAACAAATACAATCAAAAACAATACATTTGAAGGGAGAATAAAGACTTAACATCAAATATTCATAATAATCATGTATTTGATTTGTTCTCAAAGAAAACGCACACTATTTATTCAATTATTTTCATTTTCTCCTCTTGAGTTAAGGCTGAATATCTCAATTATGTAATTGTACTCTTCATCCCAAAGTCAGAACAGGAAATGGGTTCAGAATTTGAGAAAAGAACTCTCACTTTGAGCAATCTTTAAAGAGATAATGCATCAAAGTTGTAAGTGAAAATTATGTAGTTAGATGTTACCATCTTTAAAACTAATATGGATCTAAAAACCCTGTTGAATACAAGTTTCTTTTTATGCATATTGTCTTTTTTGTGACCCTGCAGCTTCCAGCAAGATGGAGCTGAAACGCAAGCTGATCCAGGACCAGCAGGATCAGATTCAGATGCTGAGAAGTTCGGCGAACGAGACGAGGGCAGAGAAGCTCCAGCTGAGCAGTGACATGCAGAAACAGCAGCAGCTGGAGGAGCAGTGTGTCGAGTGCACCACGGAAATACAGACCCTCACCCGGGACATCAGGGTACATTTCACTGTTTCTGTATATCAAAGATACTTCTTGGAAGACGTTGATGTAGAGGCACTAGTGAATTACTGTAGCAACATTTATAAAAAAAAAAAAAAAAAAAAAAAAAAAATGTGTAGGTTTCTAGTGGGACTGGGTAACATTTTATGACTTCTATAACGATAGGGATTATTCAGTTTCTCAATAACAGTTTACTTAAACGTGGGTTAGGTAATTCACTTCAGAAACACTTTTTGTTATATTCCATGGAATGCTCTTAACATCCCGATAGCAATGACTACATTAAATGCTTTGACAATAAATACATAAAAACATTTCATCTGTGGAAGCCGTGGCGCTGTAAAAAGCACGACCAATCATCTGAGCCGGCCCGGCTAAAATAACTGGATGGCCTACCTGCCTGTCAGCCTTCCATCTCGTGCACAAACTTATCTCGTGCCCTCATTGGTCATGTGCGCGTTCGTGTGTGTTGGAGGAGGGGCAGATTTCTTTCGGCTGCGTACTTTCAAATTCTAGCGCACTCGAGCCGGTTTCTCCATTCTTACCTACCCTACCTTTTAAGTTCAAAATAATCATAACGTTTACAAGTGAAATGAAATTGAAAAAATGTATTAAAAATATATATGGAAAGTATATACCATTATCATTTTCATATAGCTATGACAATATACACAGTGATACTGTCCAGCCATAGTGAATCGTAAGAAAAGAGAATCTCTAAGTGCCATGTTGTCCCTTCTCATTTCCCTTCATGTCTCACAGGAAGCGAAGGAGCAGCTGTCCCCTCTGTCTGCGTCTCTGGAGAAGCTGCAGCAGGAGAAGCAGGAGCTGGTGGAGCGCAGGAGGCAGAGGCAGGAGGAGGGGCAGGAGAAGGTGGGTACTTTCTCACTTTGTCTCTCTGTCACTGCTCCCTTTTTTTCGCTACTGAAAATCAAGCAGAAATTAACACATTTTCCCTCCGACAGATCAATGCCATTAAAGAAAAGGTGAAGTCAATCGGCAACTTGGAAAAAGACATCAAGAAATATGTCGAAGACGGCAAAAACGAATACAAAGAGGCAAGTTGTGTGCCACTGTCATATTTGATACATCAGTTTTTCTGATTCCTCCCTGGGTTATTTAGTGATGGACATTAGGGCTGTGCATCTTCACTGGTCTCACGATTCGATTACAATTATCCTGTCTTCAATTCGATATCACGATTCATACCAATGCGTTGCATCCTCAATTTTCTATTACTGCACATGGCTTCTTTTTCATCAATGAATACATGCAGTAAATACATATGAACTCTCTTTTTTATTATTTAGAAAGTGCTTCAGAAATCAATAACATAAATGTCTTGACATTAATTTATAAACCAAAAGTATAGCTCTAGCATCCCTATACAGTATATCTGTGTGAAATTGTTCCATCCTCAAAAACTAAAAACTAATACTTCTGCAGTCTTCTGTTAAAAAAAGGACACTGAATGTCCTGAATGTGGCATCACAAACAAGACTTGAGTCTGAACACAGCAGACAACAGGAGTATTTACAACAGCATTATAAAAACAAAAATACTGCATGTGGGTGCACACTTACATTCTCTGTCTTACTGTTACATAAATCCCATGATTGTAGGAGATTAAGTTAGCTTCATCATATCTCAATCAGTGATTAAGTGAATAATAAAGTTTCTATCAGGTCACTATCAGCCTGTCACTCATTATTTTGATCGCGGAATCTTTTTCCTCCTGCCTTCACAAACTTTACACACGTATTTATCGTCTGAAAATAGCAAGAGGACATTCATACTCTGCAATCCAAGACTTAATTAAATCAGAGCGGGTCCTTCTGCTGTTGGTTCTGGTTCTTGTGTTGGTGGATGAAGCAGACTGCTCCGTGTTTGGTGCCGCTGTCACGTCTGTTCCCTGATCTCTGCGTCACCGACCGATTTGATATTCAAGTGACAGAAAAAAAACTTTATTGTAAAGCCGCGGCCGGAAAATCAGGAAGCAACGTTACTACGCTATAATCGATTATGTTCTGTCACTGCATCGATGCAGAATCATCCACGTACGCATCGCGCTGCATCGTAGAAGCGATTAATTTCAACACCCCTAATGGACATAGATACAAACAATCATCATGAAAAGTCATTATATGTCCCTTTATTCACTTTGAAAATCAGAATTGCTTTTTCTTTGAATAACATTTGTTAGTTATAGAACCTTGGCTCAAATTGTATTCACTTTTCGACGTACTGAACTACTTTGTTGTTGCTGCAGCAAAAAGAGTCTGAGCTTCAAGAAACCAACACTCAGCTCCACGAGGCTGAGAAGAATAAAGACAAGATCAACAAGGAGATGGGAAACATCCGCCAGGACATTGACACTCAAAAGGTACGACTTCCTGAGTCATGGTGGGACTTTGTGTTATCGACTATTGTACAGGCCAATGCTGAGTTTCAGAGAAGTGAAGCAAAGATACATTTTTATATCTCTTAGGTCCAGGAGCGCTGGTTGCAGGACAACCTGACGTTGAGGAAACGTGTCGAGGAGTTAAAGGAGGTTGTGGCTAGACGTGAGGTTCTTCTGAAAGACATGGGCAACATGCAAGTCCTGCAGCTACGCCAGTAAGAGCACTACACTCTTATTTAAGATCAATCAATGTTATTATAAGGGAACCAAGCTGCACAAAAGCCATCTGTTCTAGTCCTCCTAAATCTCTTTTGCCTCAGCGGTATCACACTTATTAGAAGTTCACTTATCCTTTCGTGTCATTGTCCAGAGAACGACGTGATGCCGACCGCAAGTTGGAAGAGTTGAAGAAGAACCGCAGTATTGCAATGGGTCGTCAAAAAGGCTTCGAGGAGGAGATACTGCATTACAGGTGAGATATGCACGTCTATTGTTTACACATCACAGAGCTTAACCGAATTCAGATGCACTTTTTACTATTATATTAATGTTGTATCTCCGGCTGACCTATGTCACTGCAACGATAGCTATAGTGATAGCCCCACTACCATTTGTGTTCACACTCGATGTGTAAGAGCTGCGTTTCTCATGATGTAAATTATCTGATCCCTAAAAACAAAAGGAGCATCCATTGCTTGCCAACATTTCCACATCTCCCATCATTCCCTGCAGATTTTTTCCGTTTCCTGTCCCCCGATTCTGAACCCGATACTCGTAAATGACTGCTTTATATTAATAATACGAGTTATTTCTTGAATTAAACTTTGCCTTTGAACTGTTCTTTGCAGGAAGGAGCTGCGAGAAGATCAGTATAACAAAGCTGACGAGCGCTACAAGAACAAGATGATCACAATGAGGACAACCGAGCTGGTCATTAAAGATCTGGATCTCTACTACAAGGCCCTGGATCAGTAAGTGTTGCCTGAACATGACACAAGTTGAACGAATCAGGAATTGCATCGAGTATATGGATTATAATCAACACATTTGTTTGAATCCCAGAATCTTGAAACTTGAGAAAGCCAGCTGGATATAGCAGTACAGTATTAGTATACAGTAAATGCCTTTTTAATATAAAAAATACATCACATTCCAGAAGATGTCATTGTGATATCTTCCACAAATATCAGATGACTGCACTAGTAAAAATCCATTTTCATAAAAGGGAAAATGACATGCATGTATACAATGACTTGAACTGGAACAGATCTGACTGATGATTTCAGTGTGAAACCACAGAGAACCACCACATGTTAAAAGGCTTTAAACGTATAGAAGGAAATAACACGATAGACATTGTTTGAGATTGATTGATTTAAGTACCAAAAACTGCTTTTAAAAATAAATTCCTTCAATTTCAGACCTAAAGAAAAACCCTGCAAAATAATAGTTCACAGAGAAAATGTATATAAAATACAGCAATAACATAGACACTCAGCATTTATTTGTGAAGGGCTTAGAGCTTACAGTAGGTCGTATTGTTGGTAAGATTTAGTGTCGACATCAGCACCTTTGTCTTTCCGTCTCTCGTAGTTTTCCTGTTATGAGACACGAGTCCATGCCCTCCTTCTCAGGCCTTTTGAAGTTCGCCCACCTCAACGTTTAGGTTGTTATTTAGAAAGTCATTTAGCTCATGTTGGTGATGTCACTTTTCTTGTATCACTGAGCTCTTTAGAAATGTCTGGGGTAATGCCAATGTCAGTGTCACTGCAAAAAAAGTAGCTACGGCCTTCCTGTGTGGACTTAGCATATCCCATCTGCATGTTAAACTTGTTTTATACACATGGAATCATCGTTTAAGCTCACAGCCTCAATGCTCAGATTGAAGACCTCCATTCAAATGTCATTCTAACTGAACAAAACTTTTAGCTTTAAATAAGTAATACAAAAATCCACTTGTGGGGATGTGAAAAAAAGTCACATCCCCACTCTTTAATCTCAGAATTATGACTTTTCTTCTCAGAATTATTACTTTTCTTTCACATCCCCAATTTTTTTTTTCATGTGGCCCTAATCCTCTTCCGTACACATTACCTTGAATTCGTGAAGACATTTTTTTCGAGGTCGCTCCCTCCCCCCAAACAAATGGCCTGGCTTTTTCAGAAACAATCCAAACCACAAACGTATCAAAGCAGTGACGAGCTTTGTGGCGAAGGGGTATGTGTGACATCATGACCTTCCTCTGCGAGGGTGGACACATTCTGTGCAGTGAGACACGTCAAGAGGCAATTGTTTGACCTTATTTGATTTTTTTTATCGTTTCTCATCGTAATTCCCTATGAATTTGAAAAGTGTAGCTGGTGTGTTAGTTATAATTGATTTGTATATACAACTCTACAAGAAATGTCTCATTCAACAAGTATACTGTATATTTAATACATTCAGAGCTGAACAAATACAGCAATCAAGAAATGTAAATTTAAAATTGACTAATTGATTATAAGGTTGTAGCTTCACATTAAACTGAACATCTTTGGGCTTCGGACTGTTGGTCAGATAAAACATGACGTTTTAATTAAGTTTAACTCACTTGGGGAAATTATAATGACTGTAGATAATGAGTCTATCACTTCTCTCTATTCACTGAAAATGAGTTCAGCAAGGCTCCATATGCTTTTTATAATGGCTTTCCTTCCTAGAAAGCATTATTTTATTACAATCTGAAATATAATGTGTAGTTGATCAGGGTGCAAACCTATTTATTTTGTTGTTGGATTGACATACAAGTGAGGATGAAAAGCCTCAGTGAGGAAGCGTGAGCTCTCAGCCTCAGATAGCATCTGAGCAGAGAGCAGAGCATCATTTACCAGTATGTGTGGGTTAAGACTTCAGTGTCTGTTATCAAGATTGAAAGCAAGCCTCCCAGCAGAGCATACTGCCGGGTCACAGTTTCTATCTGAATACACAGAAAATGGTTTTCATGGTGAGATGCTTTGATTTGGGTCTGGAAAAAATAAAAATGAAACTCACTTTGCAAATAATTGGTGTCAGCATAATAGGTTGAGACCATCAAGACAATGATGTTTCATGTTCCTTAAATCACTTTCAGTCAGAACTGAATATGTGTGTCTGTTGAATTTTTCAACTTTTAGAAAAACGTCCCTGTATCTCATTAATTTGTACCTGCCGTCTCTAATAGTTTATGTACAACATTTGTTAAATAACTGGCCGTAGCAGTTGGACAACATTTCACATAGAATTGTAGAAGAATTATATAATGTTATATATATATATATATATATATATATATATATATATATAATAAAATAATTATACGTTATGGCTGTCCCGCTGAAAACATTTTGAACTAAATAATTTGTCAGCTATATTTTCCACTGAAGTCCCCAGCTCTCTTGTATTTAATTTAAAACAAAAATGTATGTTTTATTAGAATCATTTCAGTGGGAACCTTTTAGTTTGATTCGTCAAGGGTACAGCTTTCTATGTTTTCGGTGTGATACCTACACGGCATCCCTGATGCTACAAATACAAAAACATTAATCTGAGCTCCTGATCACTGAGCTCTTTAACCTTGGCGAGGTCAACAGTAACAATTCAGCGATCACATTATAAAGTAACTACAAGAAAGGTGGGTGCTTGTATTTGTTTTGCAGTGTCCTCTCTATAGACATGGTTTTTGGTAAAAAAGTTCCCACTTGGTCTAACTACCCCTCCTCCTTAGCTCAGCAAGGGGACATGGTGGAAAGAAAAACAGCACAACTTCTACTTAACAGGTGGTAACTTTGGAAGATACACACTTGATTGGATCAACTCAGAATTCTGAGGCATTGTATTCACTTCTGATAAACTTTGGAAATGTGTTTTGCAAATAGCAACAAAAGTGGGGATTGTTCCACATGAGAAGATGGTTTCGACGGGTTCTTTTAACAGTATGAATACTCAAAGGATTAAATCCTATGTCACCCTCATTCAATATTCTAAATTAAAAAAAACATGAAAAGTGTTTTAAATAAGCCTCATCATGTCAATACTCGTGATTTATCTGAAAATCTTAAGACATAAAAAAAACCCGCTAATTAATAAATGTACAAGTTTTCTCCCCAGAGATGGCGGATAAGCTCACCACTGTAAAAGAAAGTGCTTGCAATGAGATAGCGGCAGAGCGGCCCTGTTTTGCGCACATTTTCCTGAGGAGGAATCACAGCGGCTCTCCGAGACAACAGACATCTATCCATGATATAACAGAGTAACCAGTGTGTCGTGTCATGTCACAAGTTGTTTGTTTTACCTCCGCCTAAAATGCAAGAAAGTACTAGTTCAATAAACTTTATTCATCATGATTAATCACTGATGATTATTATTATTATTGTGACTTACAAAACTACATATCTTGTTTGTTGCGAGTCAAATAGACTTGCAGAAGGAAGTCATGCCCAATGACTTCCTTCTGCTGCATAAACGTATGCATACACCGGGCCACATGGATTGATAAGGACTGCGCTACTTCCTCTCTCTTTTCTTCCTTGCTTCGCGGTTTGTCAATTCATCCACCATATATGGGCTTCAGAAAAGGTGTTTTCAGACCACAGGAGTTTCGGGTCAAATTACGAGCGACAAAATGATTCTTAGTATGCCGGAAATCAACATCCAGTTGCCTGCCTTCAAATCTTGTATATCTACTTATATTCAGTATTTCTCATGTTTCAATATCACTGGATTTCATTTTTAAAAATGCTGTCGCTATCATTTTGTTCACCAAATCATCATAAAATAGTAAAGGTTTACAAATGTGTTGGAGTTGATTCTTTTTATCTTCTACATTGTGCGCAAAGCAGGGGTTGTCAATGTGAACAGTAACATATATATATACATACTGTTTGACATTGATATTTATAAATCACATACATATGCCTGCTTCTGTCTTGAGTTTTTGTCCCTTGATTGTCAAATCATAAAAGTGAGATGTCCAACAAAGCAACGTCTATTTGATGGCTTGAATTAGGGAAGGTCAAATATCTTGTCTGCTTTAGGGTTTCATCTTAATTTCCTTTTTGTTTTCCTCAGAACCATCATGAAATTCCACAGCATGAAGATGGATGAGATCAACAAGATCATCAGAGACCTTTGGCGCAACACCTACAGGGGTCAAGGTGCATTTCAATCCTACTCTATGATTGTTATGTAGTATTTATATGTAAATCATTCTCCCTAATTCCTCTCTCCGTTAGGCTACATCCACACTTACTACTTTGCCATTTTAAAACAAAAATGATCTCCGTGCAGAGTATTTTAGCCCCGTTACAGAAATAATCGGTCTTTACTAACATCTTAAACAGCGGCTAGTAAAGACAACCAAGCCAGCAACAACATTTGATGATGTATTTTCAAAAACATACTGATGTGGATGTATCCTCAGTGTTTCCTCACCTCCTCTTGCCCTCTCTCCAGACATTGAGTACGTGGAGATCCGCTCTGATGTGGACGAAAACTCGTCTGCTGGAGTGCGGCGGAGGGTTTACAACTACAGAGTGGTCATGGTGAAAGGAGACACCGCTCTGGACATGAGGGGGCGCTGCAGTGCCGGGCAGAAGGTATCACAATAAATGTTCTCTATAAGCACATACATTACATTAAAACATAATGTATCGTGCTGTTTTTGTGTTCCAACATATTACTACATGCTTAAATGTGGCTGTTTGACTAGGTGTTGGCGTCCCTGATCATCCGTCTCGCTCTGGCAGAGACCTTCTGTCTGAACTGTGGGATCCTGGCCCTGGACGAGCCCACCACCAACCTGGACCGAGACAACATCGAGTCTCTGGCACACGCCCTCGTAGAGTCAGTACACACACACAGATACACACACACACACACACACAGATACACAGTGTTTTAACTTTAAGTTTAAGGCAAGGCAAGTGTCTATAGCACTTTTCAACCCAAGGCAATTCAAAGCAAAGTAGTACTAGGATAGGTTAAATGCAGAGAACACATTTCACTGTGTGTGTGCTGTGTGCTCTGCATGTGTGACCATTAAAGCGGGTTTCATCCCTCCAATTCTATCTATCTATATTTAAACATGAATCACACAGGTACATGAATAAAAGTTACAGTGCCGTGTAAGATGTGAATAGTTCAATTAAAAGCAGCGGCAAAAAGAAAAAGTCTTCAGCCTGGATTTAAAAGCAGTAAGAGTTGCAGCAGACCTGCAGGTTTCTGGTAGTTTGTTCCAGATATTTGGCAATACCCCTAACCAAATTCTCACATTCCTCTACCCCTGGTCTTCCCGTGAAATGATAGTTCTTTTGACACTTTTCTAACCTTTTGATATTCCTTTCATCCTTCTCTTTCACCCATTTGCATCCCCAGAAAACACATTTCCCCCTGTTTTACTTTGACCTTTAAACCACTTTTCTTTTCAATTCCCACAATTAGGATATTTAAACCTGGATTATTTTAGAGGACACTCTTGGCATAACTCAAAAGTCTTAATGTGTGGATCCACCTAAATATAACCACTCCCAAGGTTAAAAAAGAGGTCTTTAGCTCATTAAGGACCTAACAAGGATATAACCAAAAAAAGAAAACACCCACAGTGACGGCACATCATGCCAGCTCTAATTATCAAGCCTCCAGCCTTGTTTTGCTTCAGAAAGGTTTCAATCCTTTAATTATCCTTCTAGCATTCAGAAGGGACAGCAAACAATCAGTAGACTAACCTATTAAACAAAACAAATATCAAAATCATTCATCAAATTGCTGATAATACTTTATTACTAAGCTCTGCATGAACACAATTGAAAAGTTAGCTTTGATTTGTTGTGTCCTGCTACTGTGTGAACTATGAGCTGATGTACCCGTCTCGCTCGCTCTCCTCAGGATCATTAAGAGTCGCTCTCGCCAGCGTAACTTCCAGCTGCTCATCATCACCCACGACGAGGACTTTGTGGAGCTGCTGGGCCGCTCCAGCTACATCGAGCACTTCTACCGCATCCGTAAGAACCAGGACCAGAACTCTGAGATCACAAAGTGCAGCATCACCTCCCTCTCTACCCATCTCAACTGAGCAGACCAAAGACTCTATACTTCCTTTGAAATGCACAGTAAACCTCCATCTTCTTGTTTTCATTTCAGTTGGGCAAATTCAGCGTTGATTTAGTTGAAAAAAGGGAACGAGTTAATTGGTCTTAACCCGCCAAAGACACTGACTGACAAATATCCATGATTCAAAATATTGTCTTGATAATGTGCCTTTAAAAAGTCACTGTTTCATAACAGAAAATGTGCTTTACGTGATGCTTTATTAAATCCTCCATTCCAGTAAGAAATGACCAGATAAAGTACTAACTAAAAGATCAAAGTTCTGATTCTAATCTAAAGCAGGAACAGCTTCCGTGTTAAGCATCATGATGTTTGCATGGTCTTGGCATTGTGCGTTTCCTGTAGCCATCTGCTGTCCATGTATCTGTTCTGCTTAAACATTTGGAAAGTTCACAGTTATGTTTCCCTGTTTTCCTCTTTGTGAGCTCATTACGTTCTGTCATTAAATCTTGGAATGGTTTGCTATTTACGAATATCTCTTGAACGGTTGTTTAATTGAAAGGTATAGATTAGCTTCAGAGAATCGTTGCTCCTTTTTGGTGAAGTTTGTCACAAACCACAGCTTAATCAAAAGATCTTATCTCACACAAACTGCAGACTCATTGCAGTTTGTTTTTTCTAATGAGGGGGAAAACGTTGCGAAGGCGGGGGCAAAGCAAGTATAAATCTTTCGTTCTCAGCCAAGTATTCAGAACAAGCGTCAGCTGACATTTGAGTGATCAAGTCAAAGAAAACTTGAAATAACTTCAACCAGAGGTCGACAGCCAACTAGCTATAATAATGATGATGATGATGATGTTTCTGTCCGCCGCCACACTGATGCTCGGCCCAGCTGTTGGCAAGCCTCATGTTCCTCTAGATAACCTAAAGGTCATCATTGATAAAATACTTAATTGGACTGGATTGGCCACGAAGGTAAGAGCTCATTTTATAACCGTTTACTTGCTTGTGACTTTTTTGCAACAAATGATTTGTTCCTGAAATATTAAATTAACTTTTTGTATTATGTTCTGAAGGAGATCTGGGTGGAGGACTTGACCAGTCTGACTGGAGAATGCAAGGTAAGAAGAGTTTGGTTGCTTATAGTTGAAGTGCTTTGATGGTAAACAAAACGTATGCATTTGGTCATTAGCACCAAACTGTAGCTTACAGAGACAGATTGCAATGGCCATGTTGATTAATTTAATATAGATGTGTTTGCCTTATTTATTTTGAAGTCCTAATGTATTCCTGCTTATGTTCCTTACAGGATAAGTTCTTCTGTAAATCGTTTGAGATCCTGAACAAGACGGAACACCACAGCCATGAGGAGGAAGTCCTTTTGAGAAACTTGAAGGCTTACATCGTGGGCACTCATGTAAGAATTCCCTCTGACATCACATTTGCAAAATGAGAAGACCAAATCTGTGGAACCCCCCCCCCCCCACACACACACTTTGTTTTTAGATGGCTAAAGCAAATGCAGAATTTAGAGTGACACTTGACCAACTTTGTTTTTTGTCTTTCAGGCAAACTGTACAGAGGGACCAAAAGAGGAGAATAAGGAACTCATTTCCCAACTCAGGTTAAAAATCCTCCGTTGTGCCCAGCGAGTTCACATGCGCGGTAACGTCACTACTCCCACACCTGAGACCCAGCCGCCAGTGGATCAGCCGAGTGCCTGAGTGTTTCATTTTTATTTTACTATAGTTTGATATTTAAGATAACATTTTAAATATGTTTTCAAAGTGTCATTTTTACCAAAAATCTACAAAATATTGGGGGAAGAAATTTGAGATATTGAATGATTTATGTGACATGGTTTGTTTCTTGTAACACTGTTAAAACAAGTTGTTAATAATTTATTTTTATGATAGCAATTGTTTGTTTTTTAGAAGCGATAATTACAAAGAATGTTTTTTGAGTTATCTTGAAGGAAACGTTTATCGGCATCCTCAGGCACAGCTAAAACATTGGATTATTTATGACAGAGATCTCTATCAAATACACCTGCATATTTATTTGTCATTGTATTTAATCTAAATTAATAAGTTAATTATCTTTATTTGAATTATATATTTATTGTAGTATAACACAGTGTTTTCAATAGTTGTTTACAGAAAAAATAAATTGTGTTGCCCATGATTGGAATGTGTGTATGGGAATGCTTTGTACCGGTCGGCATGGTGATCTGTTCACAGCAAGAAGCTTTTTATCAGGTGTATATGTATCCGTTTCATAGCAATGATGCTATACTTTTTGTCATTCAGTTAATCAAACAACTTACTTAAGATATAGTTTAACCTGGATGTGAAGTACAATTTCAGTTCTGTCTTTGTTTCTGCTGGGAACTTACTTGTTATTTTTTATTATTAAATCTATTATATTTGCAACACAGCTATTAATAATAATAATAACAATAAGCTTTATTTCTATAGGGTCAAGTGAAGCTCAACGTGCTTTACCAAGGAGGCACACATCACAATTTAAAACACAACCAGAGTTTTACATGCAGCAAGAAACAAAACAAAAAATATGATATAACAGTTTAAAACTTTAAGAGACACAGCAGTACAAAGTATGATAATACAAAGTAAACCACAATGAAATGGTGATCCCTCTCGGTAAAATAAAGGAAGAGATAATCAATCAATAGGATAACATATAAATACACATTAAATAAATAATGCAAATAAAACCCAAATAAGACATTTATAATAAAAATGTAATGATGAATAAGATTAATAAAAGTCAAATGAAATTGAACACCAACTTAAAAGGGACATTTGCTAATAAAGTTGTAAAATCGATAATACAAGTCAAAACCTATCAAATAAATAAAACTATGAAAATAACCAAATATTAAAATAATAATAGTCAATTTAAAAGTGGGGCTAATTTGATTTTGACTTCATATTGATCTTGTGTTCTACAAGGTGATTCTCAAATATAGCAAAACTTCTGTTTATTTAAACGGGGATCAGTCAAGTTGTTTATAACCCCTTTATACAAAGCATTGCATAATTCAACAAGAAAAGTAGAACATATTGTAGAGCGCTGGCTTGTTCAACTTTTGATCATGAGCCGTCTGGTTTAATCACTTTTCTGTCTGATGTCGTATTCAGGAATTCTTTGTAGCGGGAAAAATAGTTTTATGGTATCTGGGGAATAGGGATACAGGCTAAATAGGCTGTCATGAAAGCATGAGTAGTACACACACCAGGCAGAGAGTGTGAGGGTTTGGGGTCATGCCGCCCCCTGCTGGGTTAATCCTGCTATTTGGTGGCAAATTGAAGCCTGTGTTTACTTGTATGGCAAGCCGATTTAGCTTTTATTCATTTCTGGAGGATATCAACAAATCAATTCTTACTAGTAAGAACTAGTTCAAATGCCAATTTCTGATATCAGTCATTCAATTGTTACTAGTTAAAATTACATTTGAACTAGTAAAAATACAAATTTCTGATAACAAGAATTAAATTTCAACTAGTCGAAATGCCAATTATTGATATCAGAAATACAATTTGAACTAGTTCAAAATCCTTTTTTTGATATCAGGAATTCAATTGTAAGTAGTTATATATACAAATTGAATTATAACTAGTAAGAATTGATTTTTTGATATCCTCCAGAAATGAATAAAAGCTAAATCGGCTTGCCATATACTTGAACTTGTGGGATAACCTCCATTAAGAGGAGATTGCACGGTCCAATAATTTTTGCTTTAATGTTTTACTTTAGGGGTCCCAACAAAAACGTGATTTGGAAACCATGTTTGGAAGTAGACTTTTCAGAAGTTGAGGATTTTTTTCTTATGTTTGTATTGCATTGAAGTGTTGTATATGATTACTTTAAATAAGTAATTTGAGCATCCGTTAGCCGTAGCTTCATATTTTCTCTTAAATACCTTGAACAATTAATAAATTGGCTTATTTAATAGCAACACACTAACATCTATGCATCACATATTTAAACACATGGGATTTGTAAAATGAACCTATATGGCAAAACAAGTCTTGAACAAATTTACATTTTATTTAATTCATAGTGGATTATGCCAAGATGGCTATAAACAGTAAACCCCCAAAAATAAAAACAAGAAAGCAGTCAAATGAAACTTGAAATATGAATCAGCTCATCCTTTTCAATCGGACCAGGGGGAACCACACAATCAAAGCGTTATGTTATTTATGTGTGTGCAGAAATAGCAAGGCAGAAACGTTTAGAAGTTCAAATGATTGCTCAAATATTAATGATTCAGCCCCCAAAGAACTTCTTTAAGACCCTGTTTTCGTGGAGTGCACTCAACCAATGGGTGCGCCCCATGTACATGTGTGTGTGGAGTAGACACTGGCTGTGGTGAGCAGCTCTCTGTGAGAGGAACATCTTCACCACTCTTTTCCCCCTTGCCTTGGACAATGTAGCCGTCAGTCAGTGATTTGATGCAATGTGAGAGCTGGGGGGGGTTGGCTCTGGGTGCTGCCGGGGTCTCTGTGGCGCTCGCTGTGTGTCTGTCGGCTGCTGAACCGTGGCTCCCTCATTACTTAATAAAGAGAATCACTCTCTTTTCCAACAGTGCTTTTTATAGAACTGTTGCAATATTTCCAATACTTTGAATAGCCTTACCTTGCAAGCTTTAAGACTTCAGAGGACGAATAAACTAAGATGAGTTTAAAATGGCATAATGAGAATCTATGTGCCGACCACACTGCATTGTGTTTTATCTGTAGAATGATCAACAATAGCGGAATAAAGTGTAAGAAGCATTTTAATATAACAGAAAGAAAAGGAAACGGAAGTCTAATTTAACAACAGTATAATTTTAGGTAAAAATGCATCAAGTTTTTTTTAGTTTTTTTTAAAGATCTTACATTTGAGATAATGCAATACTTAAGTACAGTACCTATCGCCTGAATACATGTGTACATTGCCAGTTGTGATACATATTTGTTTATTTGTATGTTTGCCACCCTCCCTGTAAGGTTGCAGCTGCCCAGGACATAGAACTAAATTGCTGAATTATTGTTTCCTTAAAAAAAACCTTACTCTACCATTTGTCTCTTTGATCAAATCCTGTAATTTAGTAGCAAACCCTGTTCAATCTTTGCCGTTGCATTCTTGTAATTCATAAAACATCAGTCATATATTTTTGTTTAGTATTAATAGAAGTTAAACCCGCTCAATCACTCTGGTTTTGTTGCTTTTTGAATCAGAAGATCAACTGCTCCCCTGTTTGTATATAACTCAAAGGAAGCTGTTTTGCCAGTGGTATCTTGTGGCCTCATTATAAGATAAAATAAGATTTGTTTTAGATTAATTTAGACCCGTTATCATGGCTATTCATCCAAACCCCATGTGGGAATGTTTGAAAGTATGCAAATAAGCTTGAATCACCCTAAGGCAATATAACCTGACCTGCTATTCAACCATATCTCACCATCTTTGTTCTTCTACCTGATGTGATGGGATGCAGCAGGTATGATGCTGTCAGGGATAGTCGATGCTTCAAACAACAAGAGGGGAAGCATCATGTAGACATACATCTCTTAAGGTGTGTAAAAGGGCACGGCTGATGAGGATCATTATTTGTATTTACAGTGGCTTGATAAACATCCTCACGCTCTTTCTCTTGATCTGTACGCAGGCTGCCGTTGCTGCTTCTGTATTGTGTTCCTGGTCGATTAGCCTCGGGGCTGTCTTCAGGGCCTGGGGCCAGTGGGAGCAGAGGGGGGGTGGGGCTGCGTCTGCTAAGGGACCTCCTTCAGGGGCCCCACTGTGGCCTGGCTTGGTTTTCATGTCTGTCTTCAAAAGCACAGCACCATAGAGGGAGGGAGAGAGAGAGAGGGGAAGACAGTGGAGCTGCCATTGTTATTACCCATGAGTCCTCAGTCTCTATTTGGGTCTGAGGTGGCGGAGCATGTCAACGCCGAGCTGCTTCTCACATCCTTGTTTACATGTTTATCACCCGGAAGGCAATCAGAAAAACAGAATGTACACGGTATCAAAAGATATGATTCCCCCAATTAAAAAATACGCTACTTAATTGCTGATGAGCACTTTATTAGCATGAGGAATATTAAAAGAAATGTCATCTTGGTTTAATATTACAAAAAGAAAACAGATTTCTGCAGTGATGTGTGTGCAGTATTAAATTGCCATTTAGGTACAACATACAGAAAGGATATGTCTCCATTGCACTGTGCTATTATATTCTGATCTGGGCCTTATATTGTATTAATTTAATAATTTGTACTCATCTTCCACCATGTTTAAAGTTGTTAACATGTATTTCCTGCATTTCACAAAGGGAGAAAGCTATCAGCCTATATTGCATTTCCTTTTCTGTAAATGAAACAAGTGCATCCCAGCAACTTTAAATAAAAAGAGGTGATTCAATGACATTTTCTTACATGATTGCAATAAAATAAAACAGCAATAACTGATATTTATATTCTCTCTTTCTCTCATGCACCCATTGGAAAGAACTTCAAACGGGGGAAGAGCCAATGAACAAGCTGTGGAAACGGACCCGACTCTGGGTTGGATGTGCAGGGCGCGAGGGGGGGGGTCCTCCGGGTGCTCCTGCTGTCACAGAAGTTTAGTGTATGTTCGGGCCGACAGGGACGCACTCACCTTGACATGATCACCTTAGAAATGAAGAGAACCAAATCCAGACGGTCACGATGACAGACATGTCGGCCATTAGGGATTTCGTTTTCCTTGCTTTATTTCTTTTCTAAACTCCATGCAATTTATCTCTGGCTTCCCTTTCGTTTACCCATCTAACTCCTTCCATTCCTTCTTCAGTTCATGTTTCCTTAATGTCTTTCAAGTATCCTCCCTTTATTAAGTTCCTATTTTATTGTCTATTCCCTTCTGTCTCTCGTGTTTCCCTTCTTTTTATTGTCTTTTGATTTCTTCTCTTCCCTCTTCAACTTCAACTCATACCTCCCTCGAACAATTCTTTCCGTTCTTTTTTCACTGCTCTCATCTTTCCATTCCCTCCGTCTCTCTTCACTACAGCAACATTTTCTTGAAGAGGATTATTGTGTTCAGCAGACTGTAGGCTGATTATATGTTCATATACTCTACTTTGAGTTTGTGTGCAGACCTCCACAAGACCAGCTAAGTGCTTTGTAGAAAAA